GAATTCCTTTAAAGATTCCTGGAGTTGCTTCTTTATTTCAGTTGCTATTATTACAGATATTTTGGGTGTATGGCATATATTTTCTTCTTTATACATGGCTCTTAGACTTTCTTGGGATGGGCTGGATGATTGAGATTGCATTTTGGTCTTTTGTTTTGTCATTTTCCTATATTTCTGTGTTTCAAGTGTTGTTCCAAGGCTTCCCCTGGGTGTGCTGGAAATCACCTCCTACGCCCTCAGCTCTTGGGACTGAATAGAGGTTGCTGAGCATGGTCCACTCAGGCCCTCAGGCCCTCCTGTGCCACCTTCAGTGTTCCAGGTAGCTGAGCAGGCACCTACCCACTGTGGATGATGGACTAAAGCTCTTCCCAGGCAAAGACCAGTGCCCTCGAACTTCACCTGCTCTCAACTCCTGTAACTCAAGAAGGTCACTGAGTGTAATCTACCCAGGCCACAAAAGCTCCGTAGGCTAGTCTACTGTGGCTGGGCTCTGGGCAGGTCCTTGAGCTCTGGGAGCAATGATCTTAACAAAGTCTATGGGGGCTCATGTGGACTCACTCCAGCCACCAGCCGAGTTTCCCAGTTTGGGAGCGCATTATGGACTTTCAAAACCAGATAATAGGAAATCAACAATGGCTACCATAATGTCTCTTGTTCTCTTCAAAATGGCCGTCCATACCCTCACATATATTGAAATCAAATAACATAAAACAGGCTAGAACCAATCAAAACAAACAATAAAACTATTATAAGACTTCAAAACAAGATGATAGGATATTAGCAATGTCTACCATGTTTTGTTTTCTTCAAAATAACTGTTCATGTCATTACACATAATAAAATCAATTTTTGTAAACTCTTTAGGAGAAATTTTAGGCATGTATAAAATTATGCATATCCTTGCTGAACTAGAAAAAAAAACAAAACAAAACAAAAAAAAAATGCATGTAAAAACAGAAACAAAAGAGACAAATAACTAACAATAACAGAAAACCCAAGCAATAAGACTATATCTTTCTTTTTAAAAAGGTGGTAGAAACATAACAAATGTTATTAATTTGCTTAGTTATCTTCAAATGAGTTATTAAGATTACCAGATATAGATATATGTTCATTAGGTAGATTGGCCTATAGTTCTCTTTTTTTGGTTGAGTCTTTCTCTTGTTTTGACATTAGGATAAAACTTGCCTCCAGGAATGTGTTAGCCAGAACTGTTTCACTTTTAATTTCATTGAAGAGTTTTAGGAACACTGACATTAAGTCTTCCTTGAATTTCTTGTAGAATCCAGCTATGAATCCATCAGGACCTGGGCTTTTCTTTGTTGGTAATGTTCTAATTACATTTTCAACATTAACTGAAGTTGGATTATTCAGCTGTCTTACATCAGCTTTGATAATTCATGTATTTCAAGGAATCTATTTCTTCTGTGTTATTGAACCTATGTGAGTAAAGGTTTTTGAAGTATGTATTGATGATCTTCTGTATTTCCACAAGGTCTCTAGTGATTTCATACTTTTCATTCTTTATTGCATGAATATGAGTTTTTGCTTTTCTTTTTAAAATAAAGTTTGCTAGGGGCTTATCAATTTTAATTATTATTTCAGAGAAACAACTCTTATTTACTAATTCTTTGTATTGTTTTCTTAGTCTCTATTGCACTAATTTCTGCTCTGATTTTATAGTTTCCTCCCATCTTTTGGTTTTGGGCTTGACTTGTTCTTCTTTTTCTAGATGTTTAGGGTGTAGTATCAAGTTGTTTATTTTTGTTTCTTCTGATTTTCTGATACAGAAATTCAGTGCAACTAATTTCCCTCTGAGGACTGCTTTTATTGCAACCAAAAGGTCCCGAAAAGTTGTATTTGTATTTGAATTTTTGTGTGCTTGTAGATATTGTTTAATTTCTTCTTTAAATTTTTCTATGACTCATCAATTATTCAGGAGTATATTGTTTAGTTTTCATTTGTTTATGGAGTTTTTGCACTTTCCTTTCTCATTAATTTCCAGTTTCATGGGACTATGATCAGATAATATGCATAGGACCATTTCAGTTCTTTTGCATTTAGTTAAGCATATGGTCCCATGTGAAGCTGAGAATGTCCCATGTTAGGCTGAAAAGAATGTATATACTGTTGTTGGGTAGAACACTCTATACACATCTGTTAAGTTCATTTGTTCACAAGTTTGATTCAGTTCTTTTATTTTTTTGTTGATTTTCTGACTAATTGATCTTTCTTTTTGTGTCAGTGGGTGTTAAGTTCTCCCATTATAATTGTTTTGTTGCTTATTTGCTTTTTCATTCCTGTTATTTGTTTTGCATGGCTGGGTGCTCCAGAATTTTATGCATATATATTTATAATTGTTATCTCTTCCTTTTGAAGTTTTCCCCTAACTAGTATGTAGTGACCTTCTTTATCTCTTTTGATAATTCTTGGTTTAAAGTTCACGTTGTCTGTTAGCAGAATAGCTACTTCTCCTTTTATTTCAGTTACTGTTGCAGAGTATTGTTTTCCATCCTTTGACTTTCAATCTATGAATTTCCTTTTGGGTTAGATGAGTTTCTTGCACACAGCATAAAGTTGGATGTTGTTTTGTGATTCATCCTGCCAGTCTTTATTTTAATTGGTGAATTGATGTCATTTGCATTAATGATTATAAGTGATATATATTGGTTTATTTTTGTCATGTTATCTTTCTGCTGTTGGTTCTTTAACTTCCCGCTATGTTTAATTGTTTGCTCTGCTTTGTGGTTTTATTCTGTTGGTGTTATTGAAACCATAGTCATTTTTATGTGTATATAGAACATCTTTCCCTATTCTTTACAGTTTGTTTGGTGGTCATTCTTTATTGTTGAGATAATTTATTTCTCCATCAATATTGAAAGATAGTTTTTCAGGGTACATCAATCTGATTTGGAAGTCATTTTCTTTTAGGATGTGAAATACTTCATTCTACGCTGTGACTGTGATGGACTTTTCTTTATAGGTGGTTTGTTTCTTTTTTCTGACAGATTTTACTATTCTGTATTTACGTTAAATTTCTGGATTGTCAGTTATTAATTATTGCTTGTGTTGAGAAGTCTGCTGTGATTCTGATGGGCTTTCCTTGATAGGTGATTTGTTTCTTTTATCTAACAGCTTTTAATGTTGTGTTCATATATTGAATTTCTGAGATGTTGATTATTATATGTCTGGCCATAGTTTTATTTTGGTTATGGCTATTTAGAGTTGTATATGCTTCACTTATCTGCATGCCGGTTTCCTTTCCCTTGTTTGGGAAATTTTTTGCTATTATTTGTGAAAATAGCCTTTTAATACCACTTGTGTTACTGCTATTTTTGTTTTCCCCATCATTCTTATTGTTTTTCTTTGCATCACCTTGCAATTGCTGGATGGTTATTTCCTGATTCTTTGTTATTTTTAAGAGATCTTTTCTTTCGTGTTCAATCTTGTCTTCAGGGTCTGAAACTCTATCTTCATATTGTAATTCTTTCTTATGTTGTTTACTTACAGTTTCCACTGTTTTGCAGTGCTCCTCTATTTTTTAACTATGTCTTTTTTAGATGTGTTCAGCATTTTTTTCATTATGTTTATCATCTCTTCAGGTAAAACTGACATATTATTTTGGATGAGTTGTTTTACAGCTTCATGGAGCTGTTTTTTTTTTATTTCAATTGCTATCATTTCAGAAATTTCAGATGTGTAACTTATACTTTCTTTCATGTCCATGTCTCCTAGGCTTTTTGTGATAAGTTGGATGTTTGAGATGGCATTTTGCTCTTTTGTTTTGTCATTTTCCTGTATTCTCCTGTAGCAGCTTAATGCAAAATTTCAGTTGTTCCCTGGCTTGAGGATGGCTGTTCAAATTTGAGGGAGTTTCCCCAGCTGAGTGGTTCCTAGCAGTACTCAGAAAATTCCCAATTGGGGTGATTACATCAAGAGGACCTTCAGCAAACCTGCATGTGGCCAACTGAAGCTCACTGGCTGCTTGAGGTTGTTGGTTGGGTCTCTACCAGGTTCTGAGAGGCATACCAAAGCTGCACAGCTAGGTGGAATATGCTGTATAGGCCTTCAGCTCTTTCAATGTGGTGCACAACTTGGTGCACAGTGGTTCCCTGGTTGTTTTGGAATCTTTATTATTATATTCCTTTGTGTAAATTTATTTTTGCCATGGCTATTTTGAGTTCTATATGCTTCCTTTATTGTATGTCAAATTTTTTACCCATATGTGCAAAGTTTTGTGACAGTACTTCAGTGAAGACTTTTTATGGCCTTTGTGCTATCTCTAATTTTCTCACTGAATCCAGTAAGTCTTATGCTTTTCTCTTTTGCTTAATTTAACATATGTTGAATTTGTTTTACATGGTCCCTTGCTATCTTTAAGAGATCTTTCTTTTTGGGATGACTAATCATGACCATGCTTCTAGGTCTGATATTGTATATTTGCCATTGTTTGATGTGTTATGTATACTTTCAATGGAATTTTTAGCTCCTGTATATGTGTCTCTTGACTTCCTTTTCTCTATTATGCTGAGCATTCATGGTATGCATCACTTTCCTAAGCTTATGATCTCTTATTTTCAGGATAGTTCAGTTATTCTTTATGTTTGTAATTTTCAGATTCTCATTCTTTCCCTTTCAGTCAGTATAATGTTACATCAGGCTTTGTGGACAAATATGATTCTTCTTTGAATAGCTGAATTACTGTTTTTAAAAATCTTCTTTCTCCTTCCAAAGGATCTGACTGGCTTAAAGGGTGCAAATAAAGACAGGAGATGTGAAGTGAACATAAAAATCCATTACTTCACCAGCTTAGGTGTAATGCTCAAGTCAGATTTAAGTGAAAAGTGATGGGCTTCATTTACCCACACTGAGTGAACACTTCATATAAGAATTTGATGTTAGATACTGATGAAAGTTTCTAAAGTAACTTCACCTGTTTATAAAGGCAGTATTTTATATGCATGTTTTAATCATATTCCAAACTCTTTCCAATTCTTCAGGATCACCCTGTGACCCCACCTTCATCCTGGGCTGTGCTCCATGCAATGTGATCTGCTCCATTGTTTTCCAGAATCGATATGATTACAAAGACCAAAAGTTTCTTACATTGATGAAAACAGTAAACGAAAATACGAAGATTCTTAGCTCCAAGTGGATGCAGGTGAGGTTAACATACTTTTTTTCTGAAAAAAGGACCTTTCCTCTTTTTTCTGGTGCATTCTATTTTGCAGGTTATCTCTTCACTGTTTTATTGCTACCTTTGCTATACAGAAAATTTTAAAGTTAATATATTCACATTTGTTGATTTGTGCTATTATTTGCTATGTTGCTGGGTTTTATTTTGGAGGTCTTTGCTTTTGTGTACAATTTCCTGTTTTATCAATGTTTTCTTAGAGAAATTTCAGGTCTTTGATTCATTCTGAGCTGATGTTACTCAGATTGAGATGAAGAGTAGGTGTATGGTTCTCCCATCACCATTTTGTCACATCAGAAATAATTACCACTGTAATGAACAGCAGCTCAGTAGGATTTTAAACTCAGCACCAACAAAGAATTACTAGGCTAGAGTTTAAGAAAGGAAGACACTTTATTAGTAATGAGGAAAATACAGAAAACAGAATGGGGCAGAGAGTTCTGGAAAGATATATTTGCCAGGACCTTTTTCCCTGCCTCTTTTTATCATGTGATTACCCGCTGTCTCTCCCTCTTCCCCTCCCCCAGGTGGGTAGGTGGAACTTGTCACAAACTGTCTGGCTCTCTGGGCTGTCACTGGATGGATTCCAGGCCACAAGATCTTAAGCAGGCACTTCTGCTCATGTGCACATGTTTTTTCAGTGGGTTTTGTTTTTGAATATTGTATGAAAGATTCTTATTGATTTTTCATGTATGTACAAGAAGTCTTTGTGTATACTATTGTTTTTGTGTTAGGTCTTTACTCTGTTTATTTTATTTATTTTAAAGAGAAAAAGAAAAAGAATCATGAAACAGAGCCTCAAAACAGGATTAGAAGACTGTTAAAATAGCTAATACATTGCAGATTGTTGTCTTCATAGTAGTTATTCAGAGTACAACATATAGGCACAATATCTTGTCCAAACAACATTAGGACAAACTTTTCTTTTCTATGAACTAAGAGAAATTAGCTATAAAACTACCTTGCATACACCTACTTTTATTTTGCGTTGTTCCTTTTTACTTTCTTCATCATAGTCTATGTTTTCTTTTGAACAATTCATCCCCAAATTAAAATATCTATTGTATATTTTGAATCTTTACTCATTTGGTTTCTCACACTAGTGAAACAAAATCATATTTACACATATGAGTCTGATTTATTTGACTTACATGTAGGATCTCAAGATGCATCCACTTATCAATAAAAGCCTCCAGTTTTCCCTTCTTTATGACTACATAGTACTCCATTATATAAAAAATCATCTTTTTTATCCATTCCTCAGTTGATGTGCATCTCAGTTGTTTTCCCCTTTTTGGTTTCAAGATAAGAGTTGATTGTATGTTCAATTAGAAAGACTTTTTCATTTTTGCTTCATGGGATAGTTTAAAGAACATTGTTGTTCTTTAAAAATCTGGTAAAATTTAATACTAAGTCTGCTTAATCCTGGACTTTTCTTTTTTGGAGACTTTATTACTGCTTCAACCTCATCAGTTTTTAATCCACTTAGGCTTGTATGCATTATTTAAGTCCAATTTTGATGGATCATACATATCTTAAAATGTATCCATCTTGTCTGAACTTTATAATATTAAAATATAGAATTTCAAAATTTCTATAATTTTATATACTTTCTAACAATTCTGTAGATTTCTAAAAAGTAATATCTTTTTTAATATCACTGTTTTCACATAATTTTATTAACTGAGCTCTTGTCACTTTTTTCATTTGTTTGGATAAGGCTTTGTCAATATTTTATTTCCAAGGAACTAATTCTTTTCATTGATCTTTTGCGTCCATTTTAGTGTCCATTTCATTCATTTCATCTATTTTTTTCAACCTGGTGGTTTCCCATTGGTTTTTTTTTTTCTGAGATCTTGTGATACTTAGTCATGTAGGCATTTATGGTTATAAACTTGCATCTCAGAACTGTCTACTTTTCACCTCATATATCCTTGCCCTATCACTTGAGTCTAAATATTTTTAAAATACCCCTGACTTTCCAGTGATTCAATGATCATTAGAGTGTTTTATTCTATGATTTTATATTTTATGTTCTTGTTGATTTCTAATTTTTTCCAATTTTGATTTGATGAGATGTCTGTGATTATTTTAAGTGTTTGTGTTTTTTAAGATTTGCCTTGTGGCCTACCATATGGTCTATATTGCAGAAATCTTCATTAGCTTTTGAAAACAATGTGTTTTCTGCTGTTATTGGATGTAATTCTGGACATGTCTGGTAAACCCCATTAATCTGCACTAAAGATTAGCTCTAATATTTCTTGATTTTTTGGATGGGGTCTGGATGACTTATCTATTTTTGAGTAGTATTTTGAAATCGCTCACTGTTTTTGTTGTGGTATCTTTTTGTCTTTTAAGTAAAGTACTGTTTGTGTAATAAAATTGGGTAGCTAATGCTTTATATAAATAATTTTTCTTTGTCTATTATTGACTTTATCAATATGTAGTATCCTTTTTATGTCTTCTAACTAATTTTGATTTGAAGTTTACAGCTTCTTTTTCCTGGTTTTCAGAGATTGTTATTTTCCATCCCCTCATTTTCAGTTTGTATATGTCTTTGTGGGTAGAATATTTCTTGAAGGCAACCTATAGAAACATTTTTCTTTAATCCATCTTGACAGTCTGTATCTTTAATTGTTGTTCAGTGGCATAGTATCTTTCAATCATACTTGTGCTTAGATAGATCTGCTGCAGTGCTCACAAGCAGGAAACAGTCAAGGCAATCCCTTGGATAAATGAAAGCATCCTAGACACAACACTGAATGGCCACAGAAAATGTAATATGCACTTAATAGTTTAAGAGTAATTAAACAAAAATGACAAAATACAGCAATAATAAAATAAAAAATAGAGGAAGAAAGGATGGCAGCAATGATGTAAAAGAGGGGAGAAAAGAGAAGGAAATAGGCATTTTAATAAATGAGAAAGAAGAGAAAAGTCAGCAGGATAAAGGGAAAGAGAAAGAAGACAGGAGAATTTGTCAGACAATGAGAATTATGTAATCTCTCAGTATAATTAATTTACATTTTCAATTTGAAAGTGCTGTACTTTTTCTATCTTGCTTAATAATTCTTGTTAAGTGTTACATTAAATACGAGCAGAGAAAATGCACATCTTTTTCTTATTCTCAACCTTAGAGAAGAATAGGTTTTCTCCTCATTCAGCATGATATTTGTTGGTTGTGACTTTTTCACATATACTTTTTACTAATTTGAAGTACATATCTTATATATCTAATTTGTTGAAGTTTTTTCATCATGCAAGGATTTAAATCATATTGTGTGTGCTCACTGCCATGTGGTTTGTGCTTTATTCTGCTTAAGTACTGTGTCATGTTTACTGACTCCAGAATGTTGAACCACCTTCATGTCCTTATGGTGAAACTCACCTGATCCTGCTCTATGATCTTTTTTATATACTGTTGAATTTTCTTTATTGGTTATTTTATTGAAAATTTTTGCCTCTGTGTTAATCAGATAGTTAGTCTTTAGGTGGTTTTGATCCATGGTAAATCTAGCCACATAAAGAGTCTAACAACATTCTTCGCATTCTAATTTTTCAAACAGTTTCAGAAGGATTGGCATACAATCTTCTCAACATGTTGAATTTAACTCTACAACAGTGAGATCTGGAGGATGTTTAAATAGCAGTTATTAAACAACTTCTTCCATTTCCTTTTATCTGTGTTAAATTTATTTAGGTTTTATAGATTCAGGAATTTACCCAATTTTGTCTAGGTTTCCAGATTTCTAGATATAATTAATACAATTTGTAGTATTTTTTTTATTTCTGAAGTTTTATCACCTGACAAAAACCTGAACAGGTCCTTCAAAAGGAGATGGGGAAGTTTGAGTAACTTGAGCCATAGGACAAATTGTGAGTTCATTGACTTCTATCACTGTAAAAAGAATTTTCAAGACATGTCAATAAGAGGCACAAAGAGGCTCATTTGGCAGAATTTAAAATGTACATATGAGTGAGGTGCATTATGGTCAAGGTTTAGTGGTTTATGTGTACTTGGAGGTATGCTCACAGCAGGTGATCTAAGATGTCTATTCCTACGATCTGTTAGGTTGACCTATCTGGTGATGTATGTTAGAATGCAAATAGTTTACATTTGTTTGAAACTGAGATATGCTTTATTTAAATGGGGCAACAACCATGCAATTTGTGAAACTATTGGGTTCAATAAAGTGAAAGTGAATTGATTTTTCTACAAATGAAGAATGATGATCCATTTATTCTTGAAAAACATGAACTGAGGCTGTTTGTGCTTGTGAGACTTTGAGTTACTTTGGTTCTCCTTGATGCTGTGGGCTTTATCATGAACTTTACCTGTTACGAGTCAGCATGACTTTAGCTTGTTGTTTCTTCTTACTCGACTGCCATTCTTCTTCTTTGCCACAGTAGTTAATGACTGTGTAACCACATCAGTGACTTGATATACCCCATGTTGGAGTTCTTTTAGCTTCCTCATAATGTGAGGAGCTGACTGCTAATGAAATATGAACCCAGAATAATTTGGCCTTTTCTAGACTCCAATATTGTAAACACAAATAGTGAGTTCAGTCATACAAGTATTGTAATCCTCTTTCTAGTTTTCCTCACAATCCAAAAAGTTATATTTGTAATCTCAATGAGGTGTTATTAGAATCCTAGCAAGTTAATTCCAATCTTCCACCACCAATCCAACCCATGGCAAGAATAAAGACACCAAGACATATTCCAAGAGCAGCCAAAGAGTCCTAAATCCAATCCTCATGAGGAAATGCAAACAAAGGCCTTGATCCTAAGCCTCTCTCAGAATTTATGAACTTGTGAAGAAGCGGGGTAGCTAAAGGATGAGTGATAGTGAGGATGATGGGAATTACGAATTATTTGAGTAACTTGAGCTGGTTGGCCAGGTGCAAGATTGGCTTCTCTTTAAATTGCAGAGATAAAGATATGCAGAAGGATCAATTTACATA